TTATATATCTATCTATCTATCTATCTATTATATCCTATCTACTCTATCTATCTTATCTATCCTATCTATGTATCTATCTATCTGGCCTATCTATCTTTCTAATCTACTCTATCTATCTATTATCTATTATCATATCTGCTGTCTGCCTGCTTGTCTGGTATGTCTATTTATCTATCCGTATACATGCGGATAATTGTCCAGCCGCGTTCACACATATTGCATGACAAATCTTGAAGAGACGCGCCGAAGAATTGCCACACCCGTCCGTATAGCTGGCGCTGGACAGCACGTTACGTCACCACTGCAGCGCGTCAAGCGTTCAACTACGCCATCCATCCATTGCTATGTTATGGCCTACCACTCGATAACGGATCTCGCTCTCATTACACACAAACATATATATATTATCATATCATATATATACTATATTATATATCACTATTATATATACGGGCCGTAGAGAGGGGACTCCGCCGTTAGAGCCCAGCTGCAGTAGATTCACTAACCAACTATTCGCCGGCCGGCTGTGAAGTCGCTCGTAGCCCGTTGTAGAGAATTATTATCAACTTTCCCCATCGAGTTCGCACCCGCACGTCGTGTCCGGCCTCGGGGCAGTGTGACTGCTTGTACCGTCGTATTAGAAGGACAGATACAATCGGCTTGTTCTCTTGATGGGCGGATTTATAGTGTCAGAATGTACTTGCGATGACGGCCGTTTACGGATTGTTGCGCGGAGCATAGGGGCTGGGCTGCACGTCGTCGGCATCTCCCGTTCCCGCCTCTTCGTGTCCGCGTTAGAACGGAGTCCGGCCTCGACAAGTTCCATCGCTGCCTTCCACACTGAACGCGTTTACTCAGTGTAACCGCGAGCTGAAACTGCCTGAGCGCGGACCAGTCTACGTCGTCGGTAGGGTTGCCACCCAACTGATCTGCTATTGTACTAACTTAGCTATGTAGGATAGGGAGTTGTGGGCGCGGCGGCGCTGTTGATGGTTAATGATAGCGCCTGAGCGCGCGCAGGCGCAATAAACGTTTCATGTAACGCTTATTGCCGTTGTTTTAGGATCGCGGCGACGTCCCGGATCCTATGCGGCGTAGTCGCGATGGGTTATGTTAAGATTAAAAATAGGTGTGCTTTCACTGGTCTGAAGCGCCGGCCCACCAGCACTCCCAGAATTGCGGCGCGCCCTCTGGGCACGCAAACACACACACACACACACGCAGGCACAGCACACAACACACCACCACAGCACACACGCACGACCACACACACACACACACACACTGGCACGACACGATGCCTAAGTTATCACTCTTACCTGCCCAACTGAACCAGGTCGTACACAACTCGATTTGCTCTCCTGCGGCTGGCGGTCCGTAAGCTCCGGGAGAACCGCTGTGCATGGTGCAAGTAGGTGTATTTAACCTTTCCCACTTCTCTCTGCTTTCTCCTCTCTCATCTCTCTACCATCTCATACTTCATTCCTGTCCTCTTCACGCACACCTAGTGCCCGTGCCCTCCCTTTCACTTACGACAGCGGCGGCCTGGCGCACGACGAGTCTTTCGACTTCCTGCAGCTTGGCGTAGAGGAGGCGCTTCCTCGGACGGAGGAAGGGAGGGATGCTTTGCGTTTGCGCGACGGGCGGTAGGAGAGACAGAGACTTCTAGAGGAGCCACGCCGGACGGACGAGCGGGGGGGGTGGCTTCTACACGTCAGAGCAGCAGCGTGTTTGAGACGCGAGAGGTGAGAGAAGACCAACGTAATCAAAATGTGTATGTGTGTGTGTGTGTTTGTGTGGCTGTGTGTCGCGCAGTCACCCTTGTGTGTGTGTGTGTGTGTGTGACTGTGTGTGACTGTGCTGTATGTGTGTATGTGTGTGCTGGTGGTGCGTGTGTGATTGCGGTACGTGGTGTTGTGTGTGTGCTGTGTGGGGGGGGTGCGTGTATATGTGTGTATGTGTGCTGTGTGCGTGTGTGTGTGTGTGTGGTGTGTGTGTGTGCTGTGTGTGTGTGTCGTGTGAAGGTGTGTGGGTGCGGGGTGTCGCGTGCGAGTGTGTGTGTGTGTAGTGTGTGTGGTGTGTGTGTGTGTGTGTGTGTGTGTGTGTGTGTGTGTGTGTGTGTGTGTGTGTGTGTGGTCACACGCCGTCACTATTGGTGGCAAAGTGCGAATGGTAGTGGCCTATGAATCTCCGTTGAGACACCGAAAATACAAAATTTAAATTGGAAACGAAAAGAGCAAATAAGCATAGAGAAATGAACTAGATCTATTATATAGTAATTTATATATGTTGTATCCTCACCCGATGATTTGACATGTAACAAGAGATTAAAAAGCCCGACGAAACTAGGATGAATACCAAAAGTACTACACCAAAATTAGCTGTTAAAGTGAATACGTCACCGTAAATAGTAAAAGTAAAAAAATTAGGTCCACTTTTTCACCAAATGTAAGTGATTCTGTTCAATTTTTATGGTTAAATTGCTGCATTATCCTTCCTATTTTGCGATTCCGTTCGATATGAACAAATACTCGTCACTCATACATAGCCCATAGCAAGAATTTAACACCATATAAAATTCGTGTCGTAGTCAATTTAAACGTTTTCGCTTGGATATTTACGTACTTACACGTGTTCTGATGGCGTTTTTCGTTTCTACATAGTCCGGACAAGGAGGCAAGGAGAGATGCGCGAATTGAGAGCATCATAGATCACCTAAGACACAGCAAACAGATGAGGCTAAGTGAACTGAAGCCAGACGGAGGTGAAACCCTACCGCACATAGACCGTCTAACAGCGGGTGAGTAGGGATGCGACACACGTATATACATATTGAGTCATATATATGTGGTTATTAGGCGCTAGAATAAGGGAGAGAGAGAGAGAGAGAGAGAGAGAGAGAGAGAGAGAGAGGAGAGAGAGAGAGAAGAAAAGAGAGAGGAGGGAGAGAGAGAGAGAGAGAGAGAGAGAGAGAGAGAGAGAGAGAGAGAAGAGAGAAAAAAATTCGCGCGCTCTGCGTTTGTCGCGAAAATCTACGCAATCACGGAAACGTTGGTGCGAATTAGGCAAGCGCATGAATGGCGCCGTGGTAACGTGGCTGGCCCCACTAACCTGTACCTTCTCCCCGATCTGACGACGGCGCGCGTCTTACTATATGGTGCGTGTGAGTGTGTGTGTTGTGTTGGGGGGGGGGGGTATGTGGTATGTGTACTGTGTGTGTGGGTGTCTGTGATGTGTGTGTGTTGTGTGTGTGGTGTGTGTGTGTGTGTCTGGGGAGAGGGGGTATCGTGGTATGTGGTCTGTCTGTGTGTGTGTGGGTGCGTGTGTGTGTGGGGGGTGCTGTGGTGGTGAGGGGGGGGTGTAAGCGCGCGTGCGTGTGTGTGTGTGTGTGCATATAGTGTGCGATTTACGTGTATGTATTCTTTGCATGTTTCACAGAAGGCGTTGCTCGTGAGGTGCTGTGTGGCATATGTTGTGATATGTGCCGCCCAATTTTTACGCTCGTATGTTTGCTTCATTGTTTCCAGAAGGGCGTTGCCTCGTGGATGTGTTGGTGCCATATGTTCGTGCATATTGCATTTACGTGTCTGTATTCTTCATTGTTTCACAGAGGCGTTGCTTATCGTGCAGCGCGTGTGTGTGCTATATGTCGTGCATATGTGCATTTACGTGTATGTATTTCTTCATTGTTTCACAGAAGGACGTTGCTCGTGAGTGTGATGTGGCATATTGTTGCGTGCAATGTGCATTTTACTGTATGTTTTCTTCATTAGGCTCACTGAGGGGTGTGTCAATGACTTAAACATCATGGCAGTATGGTAGTTATGTTACGACAGGTACCTGAGCTCGTTAGCAAACTCGTCTTGCGCGCAAACGTCACCTCATCTTTGTGTCCAACCGACACGGCAAAAAAAACGAAAGCGTTTTATGCCCGCTCATCGGGAGAAAGCTTCTCGGTATTGATTACTTACACACACAGCGCATCACACACCACACACGCATGCACACCACACGCATGCAACACAGCACACACCAATCACACACATCCACAACACACAGCGGCACACACACACACACACACCACACACACACAACAGAAACCACTCACACAGTCGATCATGCCTAAGGCGGACATGGCCTCTATCTTTGTCAGCGGAAATAAGGCCAGCTTCTGGCTTCCATTGGGTACCATCCAATGATTAAGCGACTCTGCGGTAAATAATTACCAGTTAGATTATTCTATATCGAAGATAAAAGAGAACGAAAGAGAGGTGCGAGATAGGAAGAGAGAGAGGGTAGAGAGAGATAGAGATGGAGAGAGTGGAGATAGCAAGAGGAGGTGAGGGAGAGGAGAGAGAGAGACGAGGAGAGAGGAGAGAGGAGAAAGAATAGACGACGAGGAGCGAGAGAAGATAGAGTGAGAGCGCTGCAAGCCGGAATCCACGCCTCTACGCTCCCTCCTCTCCCTCTCTCCTTCTCGCCGCTCTCCTATCGCCATCCGCCTCCCCACTCCTCCTCGTCTCCCTCCTTCGCCCCTCTCTCCCATCTCCTCACCCTCCCCCTCGCCCGCAATGCCACTCGCCTAACGAAAGTGAGCGTTGTGCACTCGCGGTGAACTATGCTAGCTGGCCTGGATCCGCAGACTTCACTATTTCACTACGGCCCCGACTATTGTCCGTTTTCGGTTCACCGAGCACAGGCATCTCGACCTAGAAAATCCCCGCGACAGCGCCACCTCGCGGCCGAATAGCCGCGCATGCGCAGTTGGTGGTTGCGCGCGCAGGGGGGAGGGGGTGGAGTGTCACTAGGGCAATCTTCACGCTACATTACTCCCCCCTCCTTCTCTCTCTCTCTCCTTTCTCCTGCCTCTCATGTGGGGCCCCTCCCCGCCCGCAGTCTGCCTTGCAGACAATGATACCTTCACACGCGCGTGTGTAACGCTGAAGCGTGTCCTGCCGCTTTAAACCGTCGCAAGTGTTTAGCTCGCGTCCAATTCAAGACTCATCGTCCTCATCGTGTCTGTTCAATCGTCGCCGGAGTCGCAAGACCATCTATTTGATGCGTGGGTTGATGTGCTATAACATGGCCGACGTCGCCAGCATCGTCTATATCTCCGTGTAACGTGTATATATTGGAAGCAGGGTAATTGATTATCATCGTATCTCACGGCTGTCGTCTGGCAAGCTGACGCACTGCACCGGAACTCTGTGCTACGTCGTGTCGTTACGCGCATATCATCTGCCGACGCACAGAACGTATAGCGACCGCATGCGTTGCCGCGTGCGTGCGTGCGCGCCGTTGCGTTGTCGTGCGTGCGTGCGTGCGTGCGTGCGTGAGCCCG